CATGAGTTTATTAGAGCTTTCGGAAAAGAAATTAAAATTGGAAAGTGGTCACTACCAAATGTGGATCTAAATGGAGCCCAAGTCAGCATCGAAGCTAAATTAGGTGTACAAATTGAAAGGTCTGGAACACTATTTCCTTCATTAGGAAGAGTGCGACGTATCGGGACTCCAGAGTTTAAAATACAAAAATTATTAGTGTCCATGAAATCTAAGATCCTAGCACCATAATAAGACGAATTAGAACTCCCCCACTATTGGTGTTGGGCATTAAAATCACCAATTATTAAGATTGGCTTTGGCAGCTGTGAAAGAATATTTTCTATTTCGTCATATATGGAAGATGAAGGATGAGGGACATATAATGAGATAAAACAAATGTTATTTATAGAAGCGGCAATTATTGAAAAGTCGCTATTATGATTATCTATGGAGATGTGATTAAAAGAAATAGTGTTACTAATGAATATTGCAACACAACCATAGTTATCTGTTCTATCTTCTCTTAAAGACAAATAATTTGGTATATTAAAATTAGAACCAGGCTGTAGCCAAGTTTCTTGTAATGCAATTATTATAGGATTGTACATATTAATCATATACTGTAAATCAGTTTTTTATTTCTAAGACTGCGGCAATTCCATTGAAGTATTATGGATTGATGATCCATTATTGGGTTGATTAAGTAAGTTATTCAATTTTGATAGAGCCGCGTTGGACGGTTCAGATATATTTTTAGATTGAGATAGAGAATTGATTAAAATTATAAAAAGATCTTTGAAAGATAAGTTAGACAAAGGGTTGTTATTCAAAGTGCCCACTGATGGCAATAGGATATCAAAATCTTTAGTTAATAATGTATGAGCTTCTTTACCATAACCTATATTATCATGTATTACAGGCTTTGATTTGCTAAAAACTATTAGACAATTTGTTTGAATAAGTATAATTTTGAGGTCTTGTGTTTTGTTTTATAGGAATCAAAGGAGACAAGGGACTTGAAACTGCAGAGTATAATATTGTACTTCTGAATATGATGTTCTTACTAAAGGATGTAACTTAATTGCTTCAACATAGGAAATACATTTTTTTTGCCATAGACTCTTTTATTGATTTCTGCCTAGATAATTCAAGATATTTCTTATTTGTAGCATAATGTGAACCTGGGCATAAACAGCACACTACATCATCATCATCAATGTTACAGTTCTCACCAGTATGACTATTACCACATTTAAAACAACTTGGAGTTGATCTACATTGGTTTTTTATATGACCATAACGGCAACAATTAAAACATTGTACTGTAGGGAATATGTATAAATCAACAGGGAGAGAGTTATAACATAGAAAAACTCTTTTTGGTAGAACCTGACCATCGAAAGTTAGTACTACAGTTTCAATGGGAAGGAAGTTTGCTTTACCTTCTACAATACTTTTCCTGTTTTATCTTCTAACTTTCAGAATATTTCACATCCAAGAGGAACAGTAATGTTTTTCATTATGTCTTCTTCAGACCAATCGGTTGGAACACCCCTGACAACTCCCATACGAGTTATAGTAAAACCTGGTATAAAAACTTTATAATTATGAAGTTTTAAATCTTGATTGTCAATGAAAGTATTTGCATCTTCATAATTCGAAAAAGCCAAAACAACCCTATTTCTTCCAATCTTTTTTAAACTACCATTTATTATGTTTTTAATGCAGGCCTTTTTCAGAAAACGACCAAAAGAAACAGGATGAATTGTGACATTTTCATTGGGACTGGACCGTTCCTTCTGGATGTGAACTATGTATAGGGACACATCTGAAGGTTGGTATATGGACCTATTTACTTGAGTCCGGACAGTAACATTATTAGAGTTAGTATTATTAGCATGAGGTACTGGGGATGTGGAAACTGGTTTTGTTACAGGCATTTTAAATACTTTAGAAGAATCGTTTTCGATTAGTCAGTATTCAGTAGTCAGTTTACCCGTGTATGTACGTCATTAACCGACTTCAAAAAGAGGTTCGCATTTTGATCTGTACGTTTTTAACCGATCTTAAAAGAAACTTGTTTATCAATTCGACTTTTGTGCATGTATCTTTATTTGAATATGGAGCAATATTCATATATGTTAGTCTATATGTGCTTCTAAAGAGCGTGCAACAGCTACATTTTATAGGTGTATGTTATGTATAAGTGTCTATATAGTTAACAATGTACTGTACCGTCCGAGCACATTACCATAGGCAGGTTTACTTTCGGTTGTCAATCTTTCTTTCTGATCAAGACCAGCTTAGAGTGAGTATCATAGTTTTTGGTTGTAAGTGTGCTAATGTTATACTAATTAAAAACAAATCAAGACTGAGGAGGTCTACCAGTTTTTTCATTACGCCACCCACCTCCACCATTAGACTAAGTTGCCAGATTCTCGTAAATTAGACATTGGATGTGTACGAGTCATCGTACTCATTTTATATTAATTGCGTCAGCTATTGTAATTTTGTTAATAATACAATAAAATCAGTGCTCATTACGCATTCGGCTGAATCGGTTGTTATCATTTTTAACCCTTTCGTCTATCATCTATATCATCGTATTATCAGTTATTTATCAAAACATTATCAATTATCATTTTAATGTAGTTTACCCCTACAGGATGTAATTTTTTTTTTGTTTGATTTACTATTCTTAAACTTACTAAATGACTTAACTAACGAACTAATATCTGGCACCAACCCCAAAATAATATTGGTGTGTCCACTATTTGTGTTTCTATTTTATTGAAGATAAAACTTTGTGGTAATTGTATTTTTCTGTTACATTTTTATCGAAGTCATATTTCAATTTTCCCAAAATGCTTTTGATAACGTTGAGAATTTCTTTGCGCATATTATTTTATTTCTTATGACATCAAACAGTCACATATGTTTACACTGATTATAAACATTAATATGGAAGAAAACATACAGAACCCAAAATTCCGTTGCATTATAAAGGACAGTACAGCTCTTACGTATCGAAACGCGATCAGATAGTAAAAAAAAATACTTATATTAAAACAATTTAAGGGTTCTTTTTAAGGAATTTAAAGACATTACAAAGGTTTATATTTAAGAATTCCTTATTTTATGTGTTGGTGGAACGATAAAGAATAGAATTAAGAGCATATTTTTTTTATAACGTGGTAGTACTAACAGTAGTAATACACGTGACGTGCGCACAGGCAGACGAACACAACCCAGCAATCGAATGGATCAAAGGATTTATGACACTTACGTAGGATAAGCGAATTATAATGTCGAAGAGACTCATCATAGTTGCTGTTGGTATTGAGTGACTTCATAAATTTCTTTGGATCCTTTCAAGTCTAACAATGTAGATATCGTAACAGGGATTCCAATTGATGCTACAAGAATAGCATGAACGCATGAAAAGTAAAAAACCTTAAAAGCATTAGGATGTTTAAATGGTTTAATTATTCTAAAAATGAACCCTAATCCCTGAAATGCATTATTAATGATATGATCTTCATCTTAATGGTATTTAAAAGAAAGTTCAACGCCCATCATAATGCCTAAATCTTTAATTTTAGTTACCCTAATGAGAATATTCTTATAAATTGAGTAGGTAAAGATAATGGATTCTTTTTGCGCGTAAACGATATTATATAACATTTATTTATATTAAGAAATAGTTGATTTTGTAAGCAATAGTTATGTAGAGCGTCCATGTTAGCTTGATAATTAATACAATTGCCGGATTTCACAATTGTATACAATTTGGTATCGTCAGCATATAAGAGATGGCGGCTATTATTAAAAACTTCGCTCATATCGTTAATATAAAACGAAAAGAGGAGAGGACCTAAGTGAGAGCCCTGAGGACGCCTAATGGTAAGGGAAGAAATTGTGAAGAGCACAAGTGTACCCTTTGATACAAAACTTCTATTTTTAATGTAGTGTGACGTCTCATGTTATATATATTTATTTGCATTTACAAAAACAATAAAAACTTACACAAAATTTATATATAAGCTAGTTATTGTAAACATATCTTTAAAATAACCTATATCTATATAGTTAGATTATTAATTAAAACAATAATATTTACGATATATACCAATAAGTTTAAGTACAATAAAATAATTCAAAATATTATCAGACTTAAGCTGTAAAACGAATAGCATTAACCAGCGCAAATATAGCTTACGCACTGGGGGCCAATTCTACTTAATAAACTTTCTTTAAATCGAACCGAAAACGGATCGAAACCGAACGAAACTACTACTACAAAACTACTAAATTTATTTAGTAGAATTGGCCCCCTGTACCAGCTACTTAATGCCATACTATTGGTCAATTGTTTTTCTTCAATAGCGATGCTATATGATCCTAATGAAAACAAGTACGTAAGTCGAGCGCCTATCGATTAATTAATAACCTACAGAAAACCTCCTCCCGACTTGAATAGCACTCATTTTCTTTCTTGAATAAGTCGCTTTTGAATTAAGTTTTTTTTTCACTTTTTTAAGTTGTTAGGAAACACTTATACTTATATTTAACGATTTATGATGTGAGTCATCGGGTATCTAAGGACGTTCACAAAAAGAAACAATGCAAGAACTACAACAAAAAATTAAACCACAATTACATTGTAAAAGGGAAGTCAACATCAGTTAATTATTTATTCAGCAAAAAAACATCTTCAGAATTAGAGATAGAAAAGTTACTTACACTGTCGTAAAAAGATGTTAGTAATGAATGACTCATGATTGCTACCGTGCGCTAACTAGGTACAAATATTATGTAATTGGCTAGAGGAGGACTTGGTGGCGGTGGTAGAGAGACCAAAGATTACAATATTCTACGGACACGCATACTTCCTAGGCCGGCAGTGACGCGCACGCACATGTCAGTACGACGCAACGGGCCCAAGTCTCGGCGCATGGCTATTAACTTCCCGCCTATGGCTTTGTCCGCGTGGTCCATACTAACTTCACCCCTTAAGGAGCAGAATTTGAAAAAAAAAATCTTTCGTACGTGCTCACTGACATTATGAAAGGAGCCCTTGTACCTAATTTCAAGTTTCTTGGAACAGTAGTTTCAACATATATAAGTCAGGCATGTTTGCCTTTTAATTAAGTATATTTAATTATTGACTATTGTAATACAAGCGTTCCTATAGACTACGAAATCGTCTTAAGTGTCAGTTCAACGACCTTTTTATTATTGTGGAAAGGCATTTCATATATTATACAATATTATGCGTCTCTTTTGTAACGATAATCAGTATACTAACTTATGCGACGATTATTTTAATTCGAATTAACATCATCAAATATTGTTTGTTTGTTGATGCCGAAACTATTTTATGGATAACTACACTCATGTAATCTGATGATTGTAATTGTTTTTTTTTTTTTTGTAGGATAGCTCGTAATTTGTGCAGATCGTTTACACTTTGGTGCCTTTAAGCGTGTCTAAATACCCCAAATACACTTTTTTGTATTAGAACATGTCTCAAACGCACGTCATAGACGTCACAAAGATACAAAAGCTTTTTGCGCTTTGTTTGAAGTGTTTTAATCAATTTTGTATAAATTATGTGCATCGAAATCTATCGCTACTCTGTATTTGTTTGTAAAGTCAATAATCCTCTTATCTCGTCTTAGTATATATATTTTTAATAGTCTTCATAATCTTTTACACATCTAAAACCAACCCTAGAGTAATTTGCTGGACAGCTGAACGTAGAACATAATATACAACTCTCGGCTACTACTCTTTCCGTTGTTGTTTTTAATCCGTTGTTTGGAGATTTTCCGTTATACGGGATTACTGGATTCGGCATTCCATTGTATGTTGTTGTTGTGTTAAAGTATCCATTGTATGGAGCTGCATTTGTATTATTCCGAGCCGCTGTGGCAGAACTTGAGTTGTATGGATATTGAGGGTAATAGTTTCCGTTATAAGGATTCAAAGTTACTGGATTATAATTAGACTCGTACGGTGATATTGGTTTTCTATTATTTGGTGTAACCGTGTTGTAGTTGTAATTTCCGTTGTATGGAGTTCCCATGTTATAATTTCCGTTATCAGTGGACTGTGGTTTATTATTTATATTATATGGTGATGATGAATTATAGTATCCTCCATAATATGTTTGATTGTTATGTCTATTGCTATTATATGGCTGATAATTATATGGATTACTTTGATTATAAATCCCGTTATACGATGAATTGATGTTTCCATTGTACGGTGTTTGAAAGTCGTTTTTATATGTTATGTTGATATTATTGTAAGGATAGCTATTGTAATAACTTTCATTATAGATTATATTGCCATATCCATTGTTATAATATCCATCATCATAATTCAAGTTTGTATAATTTTGCTTGTTATATTTTTTATTCTTACCAAATAGAGATGCAACGACTAACTCATAACCGTTTTGTATTATTTTACCTGTGGTAGTTTTATTAATACGATTAGTGTTACTGGAGTTTTCGTTGTTAATTGAAGTTTTTTCATATGGACTGGAATGCGTGTATATGTCCCTTTTGGATCTATATTCTACATGTATTTTACGTTTTAACAAATCTATTATTTTATAATGAAACTCTTTTTCTTGGGGTATAGTGATTTCTTTATATTTTTCCTCTATTTCTTCTGGATACTTGTCTACTGCGATGTGCCTTCTCACTCGTATATCCATATTGGAATTGGAATTTCCAGTTGAACTAATATTGTAATTCATATTTTGCGCTATCAGATTTACAATCCCAGCTATTATAAACACCGAAAGAATCATTTTCCTTTTTTTCAATTAAAATAATACACTAAATTAACACCGTTGAATTCTGTATCTTCACTTCACTTACACTTTGGTTACTTTTATTTACACAACTGCTATATTTTCCTGATTAACGTGTTTTTAATGCTAGACGCATGAATTTAATGCGTTTTAATATAAATTTAAATATTGTTTATTATTTAATAATGATACTGAGTATTGTAGTTGTCAATCAGTGGTGACCTTATCATATATACATGTAAAATGTATCTGTTTGTATGTAAACTTGGATTATATTTAATTACTAAAATAAATATTTAAAATTACTTGTCCTCTTCTCCTTTGAATTTTCAAGTAGACTTCCGGTTCCCTAGTATCGCCTATGTGTCATCCACATCGTAAGCCATACTTACCAAAACTTTGTACTTCTGCTTCATAATTTAAATTCATTTTAGCATATACACTATTTAAGTTTGCTTAATACGACTCAACATCATGCTTGTTTCGACATACCTTTTCCAGAGTTTGATTTCTGTAGATTTTTTCTAATTTACACACACTAGACCTAAATAACTGCCCATAGTGACCATATCCATAGATCACAGATTCGACTGAATGCCACTATATACCAAGAATGATCAGGGATGCGATTAAAATTACAAAACACCAGAATTTCAATAGTGAAAGTGCGTTTTAATTGGCTAGTTGACTACTTATTTATTTTATTGATAAAAGTCCTTTTATATCCCAGAAATAACAGCAGAAGTAACAGCATGTCTGCGATTAATAGTTTCTCAGCTAAGGTGCTGTGCTTGTGGTACTACTACTAGTCGACCGAAAATGCTCCTTATAAATATAGGCTGAAAAGTGACATCACACCCTAACACGTAAGCGAAAAACGAATGAGCGTCTAGACAATCTTTGTTATATTTTTTGTTATTTGTGCGTTTATGTTATCCCTTTTGTATTTTATAAAAATTTGAATTTTCTTCCTCTTTTTTATCGTAAATAATGGTATACCATAATATAAAAAAATTAAAGTTCAACTTATTAATCTATACTAATATTATAAAGCTGAAGAGTGTTTGTTTGAACGCGCTAATCTCAGGAACTACTGGTTCGAATTGAAAAAATCTTTTTGTGTTGAATAGACCATTTATCGAGGAAGGCTTTAGGCTTTATAACATCACGCTGCAACTATAAGGAGCGAAGAAATAATGGAAAACGCGGACGAAGTCGCTGGCGGCCACTAGTAGAAAAATAAAATTGATTTAGTCCAAGCGGAATAGGTCATTCTCATATGTATATTACATATAACTGCGAGGTTATCGCTTCGTACAATTCCGTGTATTTATAAACTATATTATCTGTAGTAAATTTTGTTGAAGTCACCACATAATACAGTTTGCAAGGTAGCCAACAATTTTATACAAGAATTTTATCATTTATTCCCTGACACAAAAGAAGCAATTTTAAAACTTTACTTGGAATTTTTAAGGTGCATTTACACATACTAACCTTTTTTCTTTGCTTAAGGGCGTTAGAATACATAGTTAAGTTTGCAATTGGTAAACAAAAAATTTCTTTTATGCAAACGTTATATACACAGAAAAAAGGTTAATTGTAATTTCATATCTGAATAGTTTTAAATACTTCCTCATAGTCTTTTTTATAATATTCATTGAAGTTCGATGGACACCTATGAGCAGAAAAAAAAGATAAATCGCGAAGAAATTTATAAAAACACTTTTTTATTATCAATCCATACAGTAAATAAAATTGCCTTTCAAATTTTTTGTTATCAAAAATTTGCCCTACCTAATTTCGTAATGATTTTTTACAAAACAAAATTTGTAGGGTAGAAACGATAGTTTGATTTTAATAAAATTGTGTTATGAGTAGATCCCGTTATCATTTGTGCAATTTGGTAACTTGGGTAAAAATGAAATAATTAATTATAAAATAAATAGATGACCAGCTCGATAAGTCATAGGATGGGTGGAAAAAATATTATTTTGACCTGCACCGTGCTTCGTAAGGCACGTTAAGCCGTTAGTCGTAGCTGCATCTGCTGTTGTTAACACTCAAAATTTCACCCAGAGCCGGCGTGGTGGGTATGGCCCATTCTCTCTATTTGATTCTAGGTCTGTACCCCAGCAGAGGGTACATTAATAGATAAATTAATAGTTGTATTTATATAAAAATATTATCAATATCGACACGATAAATATTTTAACTCCTCCCTTAAAGCGCCTAAAATTAGCCACTAAAATTACACTTCCGATTACATATTATGATATGGTAAAATCTATACTAACATTATAAAGAGGAAAGCTGTGATTGTTTATTTGTGAGCATTGAATTGGATCCGAAGTTCTAGACAGATTTTGAAAAAAATCTTTCAGCTACTGAAAATTAAATCATACACGGGTAACATGATTTTACGCGGTCAAATTCGGGGTAAAACAGCTAGTGTTTGAATACATTTCAGTGATATATATCACAATTAATATTCAAAAACCGTATGTAAAATAGCAAAAGGAGCAATGAAGCAAAAGCAACGCTAAAAAAAGGGTCGACATAATTGACCCCAGTTAGTGAAAGGTTAAGTTTGTACGACCCTTGTAAGCAGTAAAGCTCATAAAAAAGGTTGTATGTAACCTTTGAAGATATTTCAACTTCATTTGTTAAGTTATTTTTCATGTTCATAAAGAAAAAGAATGTTGATAGCTGCTATTTTATTCGCCGGCATGATCAGGAATTTTTATTAGCATTCTAAATAGCTGATTTCGCATCTAACAGGTTAAAATGACCATAATATTGGAATCCCTTTAATTTAAATCATCAATCAAAATAATTCAATTTATAACAATATACGTAATAAATACTTCAATTAAATTAATAAGTTAGTAAGTGTTAAGTGTACTTAGTCTTCAAACAAACATTTAGCGCCATGGCAATGTTATCAACATTATAAATTAATACGGTTTAATTAGAGTAATTAGTTAGTGATATTTAGTCCATACTTGCTACATTAAAACGTCAGTATGAGCCATGTGATAATATTAATTATGAGAGAGATCCCGATGTATTTAAGTGAATGCTATTGTTATTTAACACGATCCATTAACTAAACTGCCATACAGCTTTGTGACACAAAATCTAAATTAATTTTAGCTTAATTCTAGCATTATTATCTCGCTGAGTATAGGTCTACCGAATGACAAAATATCATTATTAGATCTAACCACAAATATATTATACTAGAATGCAAAATATGAATTATATATATTATATGCCCCGAGCTTCGAAAGACACGTGAAATCGTTGATCTTGGCTGTATTTGCATTCGTCAACACCGACTCATTCGTACTGGGCTACAATGGGTGATCCTGAGGTTAATTACTACAAATGGATGTATACCACCCATTTTCACTAAACTAGAACAAGGCATAGCTAAACTAGGAATAGCTTAATCTACGAACCACCTAAGCGGATTAGTTAAATTCCAAATAAATATTTTTTCTTTTATCCCTTGACACATTTATTTAACCTGGCATCTTACGCAAATGCCTAGCGCAAGGCGCCGCTTACGCATGGCGTAACTTTCGACATTCCTTAGTGTTTTTAGATGGTTCCTATTCATTGGTGAAAATTATTTTTAACCATAAGCAATTCCTAAATATTTAAGCTACATATTTGGGCGACGCCTGAGTTTCGTAAAAAAGGGCATAAGAATGAGAGATTACTTAGATGCGCATCTCCTTCTCTTGACGGGGACAGATTGGATTGTTTGTTCTCGTATTTTCTGGGGATCCAAGTGTTCCTAAGTCTTTACAGGTAGACTTTAAAGGAGGTGAACCACGTAAGCTGAGATGATGAGACAACATAGCCCTCGGTATGGGTAATTACCTCTCCTAGAGGGTGGAATGATGAACGAGAGCCCACATAGTATTACCCATCATTATAAAAAGAAATCCAATCTTTGTAACATACTTGACAATACTTATAATTACTTATAATTATTTGGATATGTTCTAGCAAACCGTGGTCGTGTTGCGTGCTGTAGTCTAGAATGTTGTTGGGTAATAAATGTAATTTTATCTAATACGATAATCATTAATGTGACGTTATACATGTTATTATTTTTACTGTACGAAACAATAAAATATTTTCCGGATAAAAGCTGAGCAATAAAAAGCATTATAAAAAACACGCCAATATGTTAAATCGCAATTCAGACTCCTGTTGCCGATGCCAACACTCGATAACTGAAGAATAACTTGTTAGAGTGTAACAAATCGTAAAGACTCATTGATGCTTAGAAGTTTCTTCGCCTTACTTAAAATTAATATGGAGGAAAAAAATATGTAATCATAAGTAACTATATCATGTAAGCTTGGGACTGCGATGAAAGAGTTTTAGCGAGTTACGCCAAGAAGGTAATGTAGGCCAATAAGGATGACGACAATGGCGTAACTTCAGGGTGGCAAGTTGGCAAAATGCTACAGGCCCCCAGCTAAAGGGGGCCCCCAGTAAGAGAATCCTTATTTCTGACATTTACTCGTATTATTACACAATTCTTAAAAAAAATACAATACCCAATTAATTTGTTAACAGTATAGTTACGCCACTTATTTTTGAAAAATATAAACACGCCTTTTTTATTTTGTAATCGTTAAATTACGGCGATGCGTTGACTTATGTCACATGACGTCACGCTTCTGTACATTTTCTACAAAATTGTGACGTAACGAGCCCCCACTCCTCAACTTTAATACCTGTTGTCTAAGCTATTTATTGTTAAATTGAAGTAAAAATAAATACGCATCAAATATTTTTCCATTATTTGACTGATGGACTGAATAGAATTCCTTTTTTTTTACCCAATCGTCATTCTTATTCACCTAATGTTTACGAAATAATTGGCTCTCAAATACCTGCGTTTTGCCATTGTACTATCTACCGGAAGTCCATCATCATCATCATTATCATCCCTTTTACGTCCCCACTGCAAAAATTCTTCCATAGAAAAAAAATTTATGTCATCGAGGAAAATTAGAGTATCTTATTAAAATATTATTGTTGTAAATAAATATATATGTACTATTCTAAGATCTGAAAATATAATATTTCTACAAAGCCCTCGATGCTCTCTTGCCCGGTTTTGTTTTAGTAAAATAGACATAAGATAGCGTTATAACAAAACTTTTTAGATTATGCTACTATTGGGTCATTAAGCTGTTCCAGAACAACCTAGGTCCAAAACACTGTTTTGTTTTCGTACTCTGAGAATGCAAATGCTTTTTTATAATGGAATAAAGGTTAAAAATTCCATAAAATGTTCGAAAAGCAACAGCGAACTCAATCCCGAACAATATGAAATATAAATGAGGTGTTAAA